CATAACTGGAATATGATTTGAACCAAATGCATCTGCACATTTAACACCAATAACCATTGGACTTCCACGACTAAATTAAAAGAATTTATATTAGAACAATTTTTTCGATACACAAAAAAACCTTTACCGAGTAGCACATAATTGACCAGGATAATGTACACTTTTAAATAATAATGCAAAAGCACCTTCCTAATAATATATTATTTAAAATTTAATGAAAAGTAAAACAAAAAAACAATTCGTTTATTACTAATTGCGAACAAGCCATTTCAATAAGCTTTTGAAAACCAATATTTTCATTTTTATGTTTATCATAAAGATATTTAACTAATTTAATAACGACTTCCGTATCAGTCTCAGATTCAAATATATAATTTCTATTGATCTAAAATTTTAATTAATTGAAGATCGATATTTAGTTTTTAAAATAAAAATTATACTTACAAGAAATTGTTTGATATCTTTATAATTTGTTATAATACCATTGTGAACACAAACAAATTGATTTTGTTCATCTGAACGTTGAGGATGAGAATTAACTGCACTTGGTTCACCATGTGTTGCCCAACGTGTATGAGCAATACCCACATGAATAGAAAATTCACCATTCCAATCAATATTTTCCAAAGCTATTCAATCAAAGAATGACTTTAACAAAAAAAAATATTTTTTTTGTTTACATTTAACAGCATGTTCAAGTTCTTCAACTTTTCCTTTTTGTCTTACAACGATACAAGCTCGTTTATTATTATTATTTTCTTCAATATTATCACCATCAAATGCAATACCGGACGAATCATAACCACGATATTCTAGACGATGAAGACCATTCATAAGAATATCAGCAATAAATCTTCGATCACGTTTAACCAAATAATTCAAATAACCAAATATACCTGTATATAATTATATAAAGAAAAATTTCTACGAGAAATCAAAGTAGTTCACCTACCGCACATAGTTATCGACTTAATCAGATACTGTTTTTGAATAGAAATGAATATTCAATCTGAAAAAAAACATATATATATAGCAACCAATAGAGAAGAAAAAAAATTCTGATGTAATGAGCTGGTGTATTAGAGAATAATAACGTGGCATAAGTATATAGGACGACAAATATTTTTGTTTTTCTCGGTGCGGTACATCAACGACGGAAAAAAAGAGGAAAAAAAAGAAATAAAAATTAAATAAAAACATATATAGTAGCTTGCGTACATAAATTATACAAGTTAGGATTCAATTTCATTAAAATGATTAGAAATTATTCAAAAAAAAATATGTTAAAAGTACAAACTATATGTTAAAATTACCTTCAAGTACGCTTTTATAATCGTAATACCTACATTAATGAGTATGTTTTTTGATTTGATCGATCAGGCGAAAAAAATACTATATAAATTATGTCAAATAATAACCAAACTATAAGACAAACATATTTCTTTCAAACTGTCAAGTATATGACCGATTACTATAGACAAATAGCAAATAAAATTATCTAATCTTTCTGCTGATATAATTCAGAATTATGTGTATATATATATCAGTTCTATGACATAAAACAGTACAAAGTAAAATTGAACTTCTAAGAATTTATCTAACATATTAAGCTGTTAATCAAAATTATGTAATAGAAATATGAAAATTTCAGATCATACTATCTTAGTCACACCGATAAGATAAACTGCTTTACATTTATTTCATGGTTAGAGTTCAAATAGATTGATATTCTCTTTTAAATAAGATATTTCAAGCTTCTTATTACTATCTTTTTTTGTTAGTTTATTCTGATAATTTTAATGTGACAGAAATTTATCATAGAACAGCCATTGTTATTATAATGATGATAAGAGGTTAGTCTGATTTAATTAATATAAATATGTTTTGTAATTATTGATATTTCTTTAAAAATTAATTTAATAATGAAGATTGAGTATACATATATATATGTAAATAAAAAGAAATCTATTTTCTTCAGATCAAGTCGTCATAATTACACAACATAACATACTCCATTAAGATATTAGAAGAACTACACCTTTATTATTTATATATGTTGTAAACAAATTTTAAAAAAATGAGCCATGATACCAGGTATCTTTCTTTGATGCACGTAATATAAAAACAACTGACTTTAGTTTCATGTATGAAATTCAAAATGTTAACATATATATTCTTTATTTAAATACGAAATGTTAAAGTCATATGTTTCTTTTTAGTAGCATAACATGTATTATTATTCATTATCGATCTTAATCAACATCTTTTATATATATGACAGATCTTTTTGTAGAATTGAATGAAAAAAAAATAGTATCTATAATTTGTTTTTGTGTTCGTTTTATTTTTAACGGTCTAAAACAAGAATTATAATAAATTTTTTTCTTTTCATGTTTTCTTGTTCAGACAGAGAACGATCGATAGTTAAACTCTGTTTGTCAAAACTAGTTGTTGATCATATTTTAAACAGTACTTTGCACTGGTGGTTCATAACCATCGGCTCGTTCGACACGTTGGCCTTTTTCGTCGACGGTTACACTGGTATAACTTTCACCATGCATTTCCATAAGTCGAGCAACTGAAAACGAAAAGTATCAAAGAAATTTCTAATGAAAAAAAGAAATTTTTACCATCGAATTTTGGTTTTTTAAGTACTTTGACTTTTCGAATATTGACATTTTGTAATGGATAAATACCAACACAAGCTTTTTGAATTTCTGTACCGATACTGTTTGGTATACTGAAAAATGATCAAAATAAATTTTTTTATTGTAATTAAAAATATAAAACATACAGTTTGTTAACAACTTCTTTAAGTTCGCTACCAGCAATATCGCGTGTCATAATTTCAACCATTTTCTTACGAATAGCTTTGATCTAAATCAAACTAAATGAAATCTTGAATTAAATAGATATTTAACTAACTTGTGTATGTTGTGCATAACATGTTTTTCTTATTTGTCCACGCATTTTCATGGTGAAGCCAATGCAAAATACACGTAAAAGATATCCATCAGATGTACGAATATCAGCTTGTGCTTCGATTAATGTCTAGAAAAGATTTATTTTTTTTAAATAATCTACAAAAAAATTATTTTTCTTTTCTTGTTGTTTACCTGCCATTTTTTGACAAGCATACGAAGTTTATCTGTTGTAATATCCATACCATGAAAGTTAGTTAAACAATGACGACCTTGTACATCTTCACAGATAAATCGAAATTTTCGGTAACTATCTTCATCATCATGTTTGTTTAAATCACCAAGTGATGCTTCAAATACACGACCTTTTAAAGCATCCGAAGCGATTTCTATTCGAAAAAAAATTGATTTGACTTGAAAAACAAAAACTTTGTTGTTATTTACTTGTGCCTGTTGTTCGTGTAACAAGTGTTCGACCAATGTTACGTACATCAAAATTAGCTGGTGCTTTGATATCATACCAATCTTTTTTTGAAAATGGGTCGGCACTAAACAAATATCAAATGATTAGATTTTTTTAGAAAAATAATCATCATATTTTATACATACATTTTCTTTTTGCCACCCTTTTTGCCACCCTTAGTTAAACGTTTGTTCTTGCCGATGGCCATTTGTTATGATCAATCTAAAAGTAGAGAGATAAATGGAGTTATCTTTTAATTGATTTGTTAGCTTTCGCAGTGAATTAAAAATATCATGTGTGTGTGTATATATATATATTTCGTCATCGATTTTAGATGAAAAAAGTAAAGAAAATTTATTTATCCATAGAATATAATATGGACCAGTCCATATTGACGAACGTCGAGCCTCCCTTAAATGTGTAGTTTTTCAACATTAATGCAGTTGATACGTTTTCCAATTGTGATTGGTTAAAATTTTATTACCGTACACGCACGCACACAGCAAGATGTATATTTTTTAATAATAATAATATTAATAATCAACTATTTTTTTCCGTTTTTCTCAAGAGAAAATCAATAGTTCCGTTGTTTTTTTTAAGATATAAACATGGGAAATCAATCATTCCTATTTATTGTCTTTATTGTGATACAATTGATATTAACAACACATTCACTTTATTTCCATATACGTGAAACAGAGCGTAAATGTTTTATTGAAGAAATACCAGATCAAACATTAGTTATTGGTAAATATAAAGTTGAATTATTTGATGCCGCAACAAATACATATCTACCTTCAACACCTGGTATTGGTATGCATGTTGAAGTTAAAGATCCCGAAGAAAAAATAGTTCTATCAAAATTATATACTAGTGAAGGACGTTTTACATTTACATCACATACACCTGGTGAACATGTTATTTGTTTATATTCAAATTCAACTGCTTGGTTTGGTGGACAACAATTAGTAAAGAATTTTATTTAAAAAAAAAATTTAATATTGTTTTCTTCTAGCGAGTACATCTTGATATTGATATTGGTGAACATGCAGTTGATTATCAACAAATTAGTGCAAAAGAAAAATTAACTGAACTTCAATTACGTGTTCGACAATTATTAGATCAAGTTGAACAAATGTATGTTAAAATAGAATTTTAATATAAAAAAAACAAAAGGAAATTTCTTTTTTGTAGAAGCAAAGAACAGAGTTATCAACGCTATCGGGAAGAACGTTTTCGTGCTACAAGTGAATCAACAAATCAACGTGTATTATGGTGGTCAATTGCACAATTACTTATACTTGTTATTGCTGGATTTTGGCAAATGCGACATCTTAAAGGATTTTTCGAAGCTAAAAAACTTGTTTAAACATTTTATTACATTCCAATAGTTTACAGTCTTGTGTTTATGTTTTCTTTTTCTGTTTCATGTTATTTTGAGTTGTGATTTTGTCTATCTTATTGATTTTTTCTTTTAACCTTTGTCTTGGTCAATCTCAAATAGATTCAAAGTTTAACTCTCGTTTTTGTTCTATTTTAGAGAATTAATTAAGAGAATTCATTTTTTCTTTTGTTTCTCCAAGAATTTTGTTTAATTGATATTTTATTGTTATTCGATGCTTGCTCGGGGTGTTCGAAATGTTATTTATAATTATACCGATGCTCAACGTAAAGTACGATCGGCAACATCAAATGATGCTTGGGGACCATCACCAGCACTCATGCATGAAATTGCTGATTTAACAGATAATATTGTTGCCTATGCAGAAATTATGCCAAGTAAGTTATTTAATTAAATGTCTGAAAATGCACTTTATTTTACGTTTACTTTATATCATATAAGCTGTCAGAAAAATAAATCAAGTAGATATTAATAACATGAATGACGCAGTACTATAGTGATATTATTTTTTATGAAATTTTTCTTTGTTCCGGTATGTCTATAGAGCAAATAAATATCACACGTTTCAAAAAATTAATTAATTCTTATTTATAATAAAGTAAGTTAGGTAGAAAATATGTAAATTGAGAAGTAGTTATCTATTACATTTGTATATATATTGAATTGTTCATTGAAACGTCGAATATGACATTTGTTTAATCTTGTCTTAAAGAAAAAATATTCAGCTAATTTAATAGAATATACTTGACAGATAAGATATGACATTTTGACAAGACTTTTTCTTTCTGTATTATGTAAAGACTTAGTTGTCATGTAAACGAGAAAAAAAGATTAACTACTAAAATTAATTATAATATTATTTTGTTTTTTATAGTTGTTTGGAAACGTTTGAATGATCATGGTAAAAATTGGCGTCATGTTTATAAATCTCTTGTTTTACTTGATCATTTAATAAAATATGGAAATGAACGTGTTAGTCAACAATGTAAAGAGAATATATTTGCAATTCAAACATTAAAAGATTTTCAATATGTTGAAGATCAAAAAGATCAAGGTTATAATGTACGTGAAAAAGCTAAACAGCTTATTGCTTTACTCAAAGATGATGAACGTTTACGTAATGAACGTCGAAAAGCACAAGACGGTCGTGAACGTTATGTACGTCAAGCTATGGGAATGGATTCAAATGGATCGGTTACGTATGGACGTACAACAACATCATCGATGCGACGTAATAGTATAGAAGGTAGTGATCCATATGGTGGAGCATCATATTTATCAGGACAAAATGCAAATCAATATCCAAGTACTAATCGTTCTACATCATATAATGATAGTCTTCATGCAGCGTCAGGAGGAAAAAATTTTGGTCAACCATCAACACAAGAAGAAGAACAATTACAAATGCAAATTGCATTAGCTGAATCACAACGTGAAGTTCGTATAAATTGATAAGAATAAAAAATATTTCTATATATATATATATTGATGTTTTTTTCTCTTCTCATAGGCGGAAGATGAAGAACGTCGACGACGAAATGATGACTTAAAACTTAAAATAGCTCTAGAACGATCAGTTAATGAAGCATCACCTGATGCTACTAATCCACAAGTAAGGAAAAATGTTTTTTTTACAAAAGATCCTTGCTTATTTTGTACACATTCGAGCAAATATAGAGTTTAATATTCTTCCTAACTTTACCTTTCAGACAGTCTTTTATACACAAGCTATATTTTAGGTTAACATCAAAATTTCGTAATGATTTGCTTGCTATGTTGAATTGTCGCGTCTAACTAATGCTAATATCTTTTTAAAGGAGTTCACGGGAATATTTAATATTTATCTCTCAAATCAGTTTTTCAAAATATGTAAAGGTTATTTCCTGATAGAATATTTTATGAGAAAAATAGGAATTCGGAATTGTTTATTACCGTAATGTCTCGACTTCTATTGCTGAAATTTTGATTAATTACAACAATATTTGTTTACTTATTATTTTGTATTTAGCTATTTGATTTCAATACAAATCCTCAACATGCCGATTCAGCATATTATAATACTCCATATTTACCAGCTACAACAGCATCAAATATTGGTTGGGATGCAGTACATAATCGATCATCTACCCATCCTGGACTTTCAACTGCTATAAGTAAGAACAATAGTATTTTCTCTTTCAGTATATGATATTCATCTGTTCATGAATTATTATATTTGTAATTATTAAAAGATTTACCATCGGCTCCATCATCTTATTTATTAGATTCATCTGATAGATACTATAATATTATTGTAGAAGAACAAAAAAAGAGGCAAAGTAATATGAAAATAAAACATCAGGGATTAATGAATTATTTTTATTTCATTATTATTTTATTTTCATTGGTTTGTTTATTTCATTACATTTTTTATAGAATAAAAGAACACCTAAATTCATTGATTATTTTGTTTTTCGTAGATGATCCATGGGCATTAGAATCAAATAATCGTACAACTGCTACTACAGCATCAAATGATCCATGGCAACCTCCGCAAATGTCAAATTCACAAACTGTTTCATGGGGCAATGACAATGGTATAACCAAACACAATGATACTGCCTTATCAATCAATATATCTGATCCTTGGGGCCTTGGCACAGCTGATTCTCGTCCAATTGCAACAGCGGCATCTTCAACTACAACAAAAGCGATTGATAATGAATTAAGTGATTTTTTTGGAAGTGGTGCAAGTAAGATATTTTGTTTTTTATTTTTCAAAATTAAGTTCATTATCCTTCACAGCTATAACACCATCATATGATCAACAACAACAACAACAACATACACCTTCAAATCCTTGGAATATCCCACCTGCTATGAGTAGAAGTTCAACTTCTCCATTAAATACAAATTTATCAATGAGTGGCGGCAATAATGGAAATTTACTTTATCCAATGATAGGTAGTGGAAATAATCCTAATCCAATTAGTTCAAGTCCAATATCACCATCATTATTATCAACATCTCGTAAAACACCAGAAAGTTTTCTTGGTGATAAATTTAGTACTTTAGTTAATCTTGATCAACTTGTTACTGAATCTAAAAGTAAAAATAATTTATTTCTTGTTTTTTTCAAATTTTCTTTCGATTTCTTTCATATTTAGATACAAATCCATTTGGTTCAACTCCAGCACGTGTTCAAAATCCATTTTCTAGTGCAACAAGACCACCAACACTCGATCAGTTAACTTCATCAAATAATGTACCTTTTACAAGTGGTTCAACATTACCTCCACCACTGATTCCTTCATCATTCAATAATAATACCAATAATAATACCAATATTAATTCAAATAATCCATTTTTGTGAACAAAACAAATATTATTTTTATTTTATTCATTTTACGTTATGAAAACGACGTTCTTTTTTTTAGTTATATTTAGAGCTTGTATTGTCTTGCTTTTATTTTCTTCTTTGTCCATAAAATATCTCTCTGTCTCTCTATCTCTTTATCTCTCTTCCTGTATATAATAAAACTGATACATTTATAATGTATCAATTAGTTTAAGCAAACCAAATATCTTCGAATGACCATTTTTAAGCTCTGATCTTTATCTTGTTTTTTTCGTATTGTACATTCATTATATACAATCTAACATCGTTACACTAAATCCTTTTTTTTATACAAAATAAAGTTATATGTATTTTTCTCTTTAATACAATAAAATCAATTGAATGATCAAATATTTAGTTGTTTTTAGATGGCTAATGAAGCCATCAATAAAAAAGATCTGAATTTATATGAGAATGACACTATAAAACCAATCGTATCATTTGGTTTAATCACCGATATTCATTATACCGATAATGATGATCGATGGAATTATTCTAAAACATTTCTAAGACGTTATAGAAATTCTTTAAAATTAGTTGATCAAGCATGTAATTATTGGTTAAATGCTAAATATCCAATTGCATTTCTACTTCAACTTGGTGATCTTATTGATGGATTATGTTCTACAGATAAAACATCTGAATATGATTTAAATTTAATTCTTAAACAATTTCGAAATATTTCACCAATCTATCATATTTGGGGAAATCATGAATTATATAATTTTACAAGAAATGAATTATTAAATGGACCATTATGTTCATTTGATACAAAAGATATTGAACCAGCTCATTATGGTACAATTCAAGTTTGTTCAAACTTAAAAATTATTGCGATTGATACATATGAATTAAGTCTCTTAAGTATAGAAAAAACGAGTGAAATGTATAATCAAGCAATGAATTTCTTACGAAAATATAATCAAAATGAAAATGTTAATGATCCCAGTGGATTAGATGGTTATCAACAACGATTTATACAATTAAATGGTGGATTAACACAAAAACAACTTTGTTGGTTACAAGAACAATTAACAAAAGCTGAAAGTCTTAATGAAAAAGTTATCATTATAGGTAAAAGGAAAACAAATATCGAAATAGTTTTTCTTATAGAACATATAAATTTTGAATTAATATAAATTCATTTTTGTTTACACAGTATTTAAAACTTCTCGTATGTTCTATACGAGACGATTAAACATTCTAATGAATATATTTCATTTTGAAGAGAGAAGAAATCTACTAATAATAACATAAATCTCATTCAATAATGTTTTCATTGTTTTTATTGCTTGTATAAGTATACACTTATCGTTCGTTTTTATTGTCACGTAATCATTAATTTTATTTCTCTTTCTCTCTCTCTCTAAGGACATATACCAATTCATCCAAATGCAGGTGATGAACTTGCTCTATTATGGAATTATGGTGATGTTTTGAATATCCTTTGGGAATTCAATAATACTGTTCTTGCATATATTGCTGGTCATTCGCATGAAGGTGCTTATTTTTATGATGAAAAACAAATTCATCATTTAACATTACAAGCTATTGTTGAATGTGAACCAGATACAAATGCTTTTGCAACTATACATGTTTATAAAGAATATTTAATAATTCAAGGTATTGGACGTATTAATACCTATCGAATTGATTTATTAAAATAAATAATTGAATTTTTTTTTAATATAATATATGCACATAATTTAATTAAGAAAAACGGATTAGATAAATAAAAATAAATGTTAACATTGTCTTTTCTCTCGTATCTTAAACACGATTGTTCAATGATTGTTTACTTGCTGTCATATCACCATCAATTGCAATGCAAATCTGAATAATAAAGCCGATTAAACCCAAGATATTAGCTACTAAAGCTGTCCAATAGATCACGGGATGACACAAGGTCAATGAAGTTGGATGTTTTAATTGTGGTATGATATTTAATGTCAATTTTATCCACCAAATCTATTTAAAATATCAATATTATTATTATTCATTTAATCAATACTAACTTACAGTTCCAATAATCCACCAAATAAATATGATAATACCAAAAATAATTCCAAAAAGTATTCCAATAAATACTATAATCTCTTTTTGTAATGAAAATGATCGAACATTACGTATCACTAACATATACATATACTCATAGAAAAATGAATAAATTTGTTATTACAAACAAGAAATGTTCTTCCTACAATTGTATATATAAGAAGATTGATAAGAATTAAAATTCCAAATATAATTAAAAATAATGGTATATTAGGTTTTATTATACATGAATTTTTATAGATTATTCCAATGAAAATAAATAAAAATGAAATAATGATTAAATAAATAATAACAATAGATGAAGATAAACTTTTTCTTTCTTTTCCTTCAGGTAAAAACTCTTGATATCTAGTATTTTCATTGAATGATTGATTGAAATTTGTTATTGATTCAAGATCACTTAAACTTATTTCAGTTGTATGATGTTTTTTATTTTTCATATGTAGAATATATAAAAAAAAAGAATTCAAGAGTATATACAAGAAATAGACAAAATAATAACTGACGACACGCCGAAGAAATGAAAACAATAGATTAAAGTTTTCGATAGAAAATAGTAATAAATTATCACTATAGGTGATAGGCGCGTCATAGCACTTAAATTTTAAGAACCATATAGACGAAAATGAATAGAAGATGAGAATATATATACATATACATACATATATATATAAATATACATATACATTCTTTTCTTTGTATTTTTCTTTTCAAAAAATGGCTTCCTCTTGTCTCGAATAACCACTGATGAATCGTTTTGAGTAAAAGAAGATGAATGATGATGATGATGATGATCGACTGTAGTCAATTAAAGACCATAGTCTAATTGTTGACCGACTGTTAGCAGTCAAATAAAAAAAGAAAAGTAAAAGGAAGAAAGAAAGAATGCTATTCATCATTGATCTACTGACTGAACAAATTAAACTGGAGAAGTAGAAAGATCATATTTGTACGTATGATGTTGTTGTTGTTGTTGATGTTGTCAACAGAGCATTGTTTGCTGATTAAGAAAGAGAAAGAACACGTTCTCTCTCTCGTCACAGTAGGCAACGTCTACATACAAATTCGACTCATATGTCTATCATTTGACCCTAAAATGACAGATGAACAAAAGAACGAAAGGAAAAAGAAGACAAGGTACTAATAACTTCTCTTCATCATCAACTAAACATTAAAAACATCAATTAAAAAGTCATACATACATATACAAAATTCGAACACACAAATAATATATACATTCTAGTGAGTTCAATCAATTCTTGTCGTTTATTACATTTCATTGTATATAATTGTGTACTTGTTCACATACAAATAAAATGCTTCATTGTGAAAAAACGAAAATTACTAATTGAAAATCAATATTTTTGACAGATTTACGATCATATTATAATTCATACAAGATGACAGTAATGATATCTTTGCTCATCGTCCAGGTTTTGTCTCATATAATCGAATATATGCGTACACATAGGTGTACGATATTTAGACATATTAAATAGATAACGAAAACCATACCGACGTACGTTCGTTCGTTGCTTGTCTATTCGTTCAAAATGATAAGGCGTAGGAGGAAAAAAAAATGAATATCGAGTCAAGAAGAAAAGCGCATATACACATCCGGTAATGAATATCTTTCATCGTCATCGTCCATCGAATCTTTTCCTCCCTCGTCTTTTTCCTGTTCACTGATGTGTGATAGGGGACTATATTCATCGGTATAAAATACGAGATCGGTAAAGACATAATTGAAGCAGTATGTGTATATATACGTACATGGATATATTAAAAGCTACTTTTATAATGTTCAAGATTTTATATAATTCCTTTTTTTTCTTCTTGTAAATCGATCGAACTTCTACAACTTTCTTTCTTTCGTATTTGCTTACACATACATACGTACATATATATATACATATATCTACAGCCACACTTTCTATTGACTAAATTCTTAACCGTCTATCATGTCATATATCCTTTTTGTTAATCGGATGATTTTATAGAGGAAGAGAGTGAATTTATACTGACATATAAACATATACACACACTATTATTATTATTGTTGTTGTTGTTTTTTTTTCTCTTTATTTTAAATCAACATTAATAGTCATCGCAAGTTAAAATTAAAAGAAAAACGACCGACATATCAAGCATAATGCATAAGAGCAAAGTCGTAAGTTATTTCATTGATTTTTCTTTTTTTTATTTACGAGCAAATTAACTATTTTATATTGTTCACTTATCCGTAAATAAATGTTGTCATACATGTCTCGATTGAAGAAGACTGGTCAGTTTAGACTTGTAACTGGTAGTTGTCTTCGACACTTGTCTATAGTAGAAGAAGAAGAATAAGAATAAGAGAAAGTGAATTCTTGTTTCTCTCTGATTTGTCTGTACAATAAATAAATGTAAATAGAAAGCTTCGTCATCATTACGAACATTCTTTTATATCGTTACAGATGATAATGAGAATAAAAGTAAACTCGTTCCACGTAATCATAACCGTCTGTATAGAAAAAAAATTGAGGAATTGTTTTTTCATATTTGAACAATTTATTCTCTATATTTTCTCCCTCTCTCTCTCTCTGTTTCTCTCTTTCTCACCCTGTGTGTCTCATATTCATACACACATTAGTACAATTTGATGAAAGATTTAACATATATAAAGAGCACAAAGAGAATGTTCTCTCATTTTTTTCTTCTGTTTCTCGAGGACGTAGAAGAAGGAGAATAAGAGACGAAGAGAGATGGTCAGTCAGACAGTGTTAGATGTGCATTATTAACGAAAAAAAAAGAAGTAAGTGGCTATCAGTTCGAGACAGAAGAATTAGAAGAGAGAAATTCTCCTCACATTTTGTTTATTGATTGATTTTTTTTCATTTTCTTTTCTCGCGTGAACAAAAGTGAGCTTTGTAAATCGAATCTGTTTCATTTCAAGGTAAATACAAAACGTGAACGTCGTTCGTCAAATAATAAAAATCATAACAATAATACTACAGCTAAGCAACCACAAACAGAATCAAATTCAACCATCAGTGCTTTAGTTACTGGTCTAACAAGTACACAAGCCAATATGTCGGACGAGAAAAGCCAAGCTGATACATCAACTGTAAAAGCAACATCTATTGAAATTATTAATCATACTAATGGTATTACACATGATAATAGAAAACATTCACCATCAAAATCTCTCAAACTTAAAGTAGGTAATGAACATGATAATGAATCTCTTTTACAAACAAATGGTCATCATCATACTCATACCAATCTAAATGAACATATATATGAAACACCAATAAATTTTGAAAGTAATCCATTATCATCATTTGAAACACCAACAATATCAGCATCATCAGATGAACAAGCAAATAAACATGATGAAAGTAGTCATTTATCATCTACATCTCTTCATAATGACAATCATTCCAATAATGGTGTGGATAGTGGTGTATCATCTGAAATAACAAGTGTTACTAATAATGGTATTGAATTAGATAAGACACATTTCGATGATGATTTAAGTACAACAAGCGGTGTAGGATCATCAATACTATCAGCTGCACGTCTTCTTGAAACGAATGTCAATGAAACAGCAACTCATCAACGTGAATCAAGTCCAACAAGTGGTGTTGTTATACCTGAAGAAAAACGCGTTACTGATCGCGTTAAAGTTTTTGAAGCTGCTGCTAATAATAATGATCAATCAACACTTAAAAAACAGCCAGCTAAACCTGGTGGTAATCAAAAACGAACATCACCATCAACATTTCAACCACATGATAATAAACAAAATGGTAAACGTGAATCACAAATATCTCCATCATCAACATCAACATCAACAAATGAAAGTCTAGAAGCTCAATTAACAAATGATTCAAAATTAACAACACCAAAAAATAAATCTAAACGTCCATCATTAAAAAAACAAATACAAAATCTACTTAAAATTGATAAAACAGCAACACCAGATGAATCAACTATTATTGAAGAACAAACATCCATTACTAATGGAAAAAAAGCCAATACATTAAATAGTACACGTACTAAACGAGAAAATGGTAAAAGATAAAAATAAATAATTTAAACTTTTCTTTTTCTTTATTTTTTTCATTTTACAAAATTAGATTCAACAACATTAACTAGTGTTAAACGTACATCACCACCAATCTCACAACAACATAGTCCAACAAATGGTAATGATACTTTGAAAAAACGTTCATCACCACCATTAGTAGCAACAAAACGTACATCTCCAAGAGAATCACCATCAAAAAGTCAACAACATTCACCTGTACCCAATGTGGCCGAATTTAATATGAAACCAGTTGCTGAACCACTTGAAATACGTATTGAACCAAATTTAACAAAAAAGAAATCACCATCACCAATATCTAAAACTTCTAATAATGGTTTATTAACAAGTGAAACTGATCAACGTCGAAGTACAACAGCTGTATCAAAATTAATTCATACATTTCAAGGAAATGCTTCTAATGATCTTGAACAAACAGTTCTTGTTCCACGTTTACGAAGTCCTGCGCAATCAATAAATCATACAGAAAATGTAAGTTAGTTCGTTGTCTCTTTTCTTTTATCTATCATTATACACTGATATATATTGGTTCAGCTTGGATGAGTTTTGTCTTTTATACGTATGATTGAATTGGCTTGTTAATATAAAATATAGTTGATGAAGAAAAATGATTGACGCATTCTTGCATGAGAATTGACATGCCACAGGTGCGAAAAAAGTATTATTCTTATAGGAATAAAAGTGCTTATAAGTAATCTTCAGCTTCCTTTTCTTCTTTTTTTCCCCACTGCATTGAGAATTGCATACGATAATACGTATGGTATGTCACAAGTAAACTCTAATCTTTTGTGAACATAGACGTCGAAAAACGTCAGTAATCACTACTACAGATCAATTGTTCTTTTTCAGTAGGATATGTAATCGAATCTGGTTTGTTATGTCATAGTCTTTCTTACTGATGATCGTCTCTGTTAATTAAAACTTGAATGTCTTCTTTTGCCTTTTTTTTCTTCTTTATGTAAGAAACAAACAAACTTCTATTGTTGTTTTCAAGTCTTCATGTTCACAGGGTCTAATCAATGTAATAGTTTGCTTCTTTTTATTCTATATTGTTGACTTGAGTCAACAGGAGATTCTTGATATATATACTAAATCTTCAATTCCCTTCTTTCTTTCACACTTACGTATACATGTAAAATCCGTACATGTATATTGTACAATTCTTTTCTTTTATTCTTTCTTTTCTTGATACATATATATATGCAGAGCAGTTCTCACACGTTTTTAATGAGATTTATGATGAACGAAAGAGCGAGAACGTGTGCACATGTTGAATATGATGATGATGATGATCTATGCATGTCACTCAGCGTGCATACAATCGTGCACCTTCCTGAATGTGTATATTGCGTGCTTTTACATAGGTAAAAAGAGTGATGATAATAGTAATGGTGATGATGATGATGATTTTATTGTTGTTGCATAAACCTTTTCTTTTTCTTTTTCTTCTTCTTCTTCTTTTTATATACTCAACGACATAATTTCAATAAGAAAAACTAATCTGCATAAACGAAATCTATTGAATTTGTAAATTTAAAAAACAAAAAATTGTTATTAAAAGGTGAAATATTAAATGATACAATGCTTTTAGTGATAGACAAGACACTAGAAATGAGTAGGCGTGGGGCGACACCACCATGTACTGACCGAGAAAATTGGCGTTGACCTACTGTGCACTGACGCGTGGAAAATGGGTGATGATTGAGAACAGATAGATACTTATTAAGTATACAAGATCAATATTCATTTTTCGAAATTTCATTAAGATATATTAAGAAAAATGTTTAATGATGAAATATTAAATAGTAAATAGAAGATATCATGCGTTTTTAATGATAAAAAGATAGGAATATGGGGGACAAGACAGTGGTAAAAGATAAGCACATATGCCAGAATAAAATGAATGTTTCATTTTTATTTCTTTGAAAGAAAAAAACAGCCATGAAATGAATAGAATTAATATTTAAAAATATATTGAGATTTTCATTTTTTAAATAAAAATAGGTGTTATCAAATTGTCACTCTTGAGTGATTAGATACTGAAGCACATTAATGATGGTGGTCGATATGATAGGATATGGATGTAGATATATATGAATAAGAATGATGAGCTGCTTGTTCGAAGGCCAATGTAAAATTGAAGAGAGACCATTTATATGAAACAATGATACTGATCATTACGGGGATGAGCAACTAAGGAAAAAAAAATGAATGCTGGCCTATGAAAGAAGGTCATACATAGAATATGATGGGGACACATATATATATAAATGAAGAAGAGAAAAAAAACGAATATTGTGATAAGCACCTTTCTACTATAGTTTCTATTTGAAACTTGAGCTGTATAAAAGCAAGTGTGCTGTCACCGACGACAAGTCTCGAAAAAGAAAATCGAAAGAACAGACAATTATATTTGATTTTTGAACGACCTTGTAAAACAATAATATTACTTTCTATCTCACATACACACACGTTCTTTTTTGTGTAATTAACTCTTAGTTTGATCCTCGATCGAGGTTGTAACCATTATCAATAGAATATAACAAGAAGAGAAAGAGATATTTACTTACTACTAGCATCACTACTTCCTATTTGCCTATCATACAATTCTGGCAGGTGCACAAACTCTTTGTATTGTTTAACGAGATGTTTGTTTCTCTAGACAGGCAGTTAGAATACATACAAAAAAAAAAAGAAATGGCCGTCTTGGAAACCTATATACAGACATAACATAATGTAATCTTCTATACATAAATGATGATGTTTGTCTTTAATTTTTTCGTACATCTGAACAAATAGAAATGAGATGTCGCAGAATTTTATATCGACAAAAAAAAGAGCAAAAGATATACTCAAATAAAGGAGACGAAAGTATTAGCCTTTGACTGTTGTATATAAACGTAAATTGGAATATGAAAAACAAAGGTAAAATTCTCTTTCACAAATAACAAAAAAAATTCGTTGACATTTTTCCTTTTGTTTATCCATATATCGCGGTTTTGTGGGTGGTTTTTTTCTTTCATGAAGAAAAACCACAGTTTTCTTTACTTCTTCATCTTCTTTCTCTTTTTTTCTCTATCATTCTTTTATTGACATAGAGGAAATATGTATGATATATAGCAAAAAGTATATGAAAGAAGACTTCACCTTGACGGTGTGTTATAAAGAAAATAAACAAGACGGAAGAAACCGACTAGAAGACTGTTGAAGTTTATCTATTTTCGATTAACACACAAACGATAACAAGTGAGAGACAAGTAAAGAAAGTGAGTAAAATTTTGTTTCTAAGCTTCTTTCAACAATTAGCTTTATGTACCTTTGATTTATTTTTCATCAAATTCTTTTATCAAAATCTCTTTTATTTGTTCTTTCATGTACATATGTCATTATTTTCATATCCATTTCATCCATACTAAGTACTTAAAGTTAAACTTCGTAATGTTTTATTATAAAAATATAAAATACAAAAGGATCAAAATGACCGAATTTAATGAATAAGAGAGAGTACATAAAATAAATGGTGGGCGGTTGACTATATAGATATATATATATATATATACAATAGATGTGTTTTCATAAGGATCATCCGTTAGACAAAAATTTAAGAGATATATAGATTATATACATCTATATAACACTAAATCAAATAGAATACATTCAGTTATTCGCAAATGAATAGAACAGCGTAAATTTGTTCTCTTATATTGAAAAATAACGAAGAACAAAAAAACAATATTCAGGTATATTTTCTTTTTCTTGTTTTTCTTCTCATAATTAATTAACTATGAAATAGATAATATATCACACGAGACAATGTCCGGAAAAGATTGATTATTTGAATTATAGTAATTATACTATTGTTTTGCTAATTCACACATACCTGTCAATATGATTAGTTTATAAGCAAAATAAAACAGACAGAAAGAGAAAAAAATTGTCATTTATTTTTCTGGAAATATATTTATATGTTCCAGCTGATAAATTTCTGTCAATAAACACAAATAGTTATGTCGATAAAGGTTTTTTTTCTCTGTATTATTTCATAGGATTTGCCCTTGAAAATAGAAGTAAATGACGTGAAGAGAAACAATAGAAATTCTTGAACATAATAACTGGTTGCCACACATGTCGATTGAAAGAGAGAGAGAGAGAAAAAAAGAAACACTTTTTTAGTATTTCAATTATTGATTGAAATCAAATCGCACAACAACAATCTTCTCGTCTTCGTTTTTTTCTTTTTCCTTGTCTTGTATATCAGAAGAAAAGAATGTCGATGTGTTTGACATACAATATTAAAATAAACTAGCAAAAAAATAATGACAAATAAAAGATGATATTGATATAAATGCTGGAAATGATTTTTTTTTATCGTTCCCCGGCTTTTTTTTTTGCTATAATTCTATAATCAACATTTGTCGAAGAAAAATAACAAATAGAAGAAAAAAAAACTCCGATAATAACCAGGTAGATTTAGTAGTAAAACTCTTTGCTTGTTGTAAATATATCAGCTGTTTTGATTAAAACAAAAATGCCGTATCATGTATCGAAACACGTAGAAGATTAATTTTTTAACCTTGTTATTCCTATTTTACGTTTTCTTTTTTAAAGAAATATATGAAGAAAAAAAAAATTTAGGTTTCAACTTTCAATCATTTTTTTACTTTGCATCGTCCGTACATAGAATTATTTGCATGAGAGCTTAGCGGAAGCAACGTCTAATGATAATCCCTTCGTCTTTTACTCGCTGTCGTCACTTCGAAGCATGTTCTGCGTATTTGACTTTGTATTCTTAATGCTTTTGATTTTTTTTCTTCGCTTCTCTCTCTCTCTCTTTGTCTCTTTTCTCTTCTTACGATAAAATTTTGTTCGCCTCTTGTTGTACGTCAGAAAATGAGTTAGTTCTTCATATATATTAAGTGCGAAGAGAAAAAAACTCAACATTAATTGCTCATCTGGTACTAGTAACGAGTGTGTATGTCTAACATTTCATATTATTAGGTACTTGTAGACTGCTGATTTGAGTAATCATTGTCTAGTAGTATCATCATCATCATTTCCATATGTGTATGTATGTTTATAAAAGAGAAAAATAAAAGCAAAGGTCTTTGTCCATTATATACATAGCAAATCACCTGTGCCTGAGGGTTTATTTGATAGATGTAGGATGTCAAACAATTAGACATATAGAAACAGACATCGATCGATCGATCGATGGATTGAGGAAAAAAATCAGCGACAACGATCCTGATAATTATCGAGATAAGAAAAAAAATAATCCAAGACGATGCCAATCAGATATAATGAGGAGGAGAAGAAGAAGAAAAAGAAATAAAAGAATGTTTAACTTTCGAATCCTTTCTATTTTTCTTCCTGCTTTGTCGCCGTTGTTGTTGTTGTTGTCGTAGTTGTTATTAGCATAGCGTAGGTTGGTATTGAATTAAGGATCAAAGATGATATTCTATGTGCTCAGGTGTCAATTTCTTTTTTTCTGCGGTTGTTGCATGCTCATTCTCTCATATTTGTCATTTCTTGTTAGTTTATTCCTGCTGCTGGTGCCATATATACATTAGTATTCACCAGTCGCTTTTGTCATTTTCTCATTTCACATCTTTTTTTTCTCATATACTGCGTTTGCATTTATATTTATATTTATATGTATATACATCTATGTATATATATATGAAAAGATTATTTGAGTAATAATGAAGAGATTTATACCTTAACTGCCCTTTCTTCTCATTCGTATATGTATACATGTAGAACAAAATATCAATTAGAAGTCTATTATTGTTTTGAACATGTGTTTTTGTTCATTTATAAACGATGACGACGCAACTTTTGAGGCGTCGCGTCTGGTCATCGTCATAATATATTTTTTAAATTTTATTCAAGCAATCTATATCTATATATATATACATGTATGTTATTTTCTTTCATGATTGTTTTAGGCAACATCATCATCAATAACTGGAGCGTCTCAAAGTGATTCATTAACAGCTATTGTTCCTGATATCTCGTCATCGACTAATTCAGTTCCTGTTCATTCTCATCCTCCTCTTGTTAACAATACAAGTAATCCTCTTTCATCATCTATTTCTGAAACAATAAATAGTTCAATGTCTTCCGGTGTTGGTGATTCGGTGAATACATCGGCACGTTTAGTAACAATTGAATCTGGTAAACGTAATCGTCCAGGTTTTCGAGATGCATCACCAACATCTTTGAGTACAACACAATATGGTCAAAATGAAACAAGCAGTGTTTCATCTTATTCATTATTATCAAATCAATCAACAAATGCCCAACATACTGATAATTTACGTGTACAACATCAACGAGAAAAACAAGAATTATCTGAATTAAATGATCGATTTCGAGGTAAATCTATGAATATTAAATAAAAATATATACATAAATATTTTGTTGTTTTCCCCTAAGGCTATCTCGATCGTGTCAAGATTCTTGAAAATAAAAATGCTAAATTAACCGGTCAATTAGAAGATGTAACAAAATCATGGGGTACAGCATCTCAAGCAATAATAACGCAATATTCAACTCCACTTGATCGTCTTCGACGAGAAGTTAATGACAGTATGATTGATGAAGCTGATTTACAAACACGTTTACGTCGTTCACATTATACAATTGATAATTATCGTTCATTAATTAATGATGAAACAGCATGGAATGATCGTCAAGAAGAAAAACGTGAACAATTAAAATTAGAATATGAACATTCATGTGCGGAATTATCTGCTTTACAAAAATCTTATAAACAAGTTGAAGATCAATTAAAATATTTACTTAAACAACGTGAAGATTATCTTAGTGAAATTGATCAACTTAATGAACAATCATATAAAGCAACTATTGATAGAATTAAATTAGATTTACAAGTACAAACACTACGTGAAGAAATTCCATTTCTTAATGATGTTCATGCACATTTATTAAGGTAAAATTTTCTAGGAAAAATTTGATTTTATCTATTTTTTTTAATTTTTGAAGTGAATTTGAACAATTAAAACCTACAAATGGTGTTGATACACAATTATTCTATCGACAAGAATTAGAAAAAGCTATACGTGATATTCGTCGTGATTTTGAAACTTTACATTCAGCACAACGTAAAGAAATGGAAGAATATTATAATGTTAAAATAGAAGAAATACAAAATGATGCTAAAAAGCTTGTACCATTACAATCTCGACAAGATGAATTATTAAAAATGACTGAACAAATAAAAGCAGCTAAATTTGATTTAAATGATTCACAAAAACTATTAGTTAATGAAAAAGATAAATATAAAGAATTACAAGACCGCTTAGGTAAATTAGAAGAAGAATATACATATGTACGTGATCAACGTAATGATGCTCATGATACTATTAACAAAGATTTAGCACTTGCACAAGAACGTGTACAACAATTAACAGGAGAAATTGATACAGTTTTACGAAGGTTAGAATTTCAAACAAAAAAAATGTTTTTTCATTTTTTTCATTTTTTAGCAATATAACACTTGAATCAGAAATAAATGTTTATAGACGATTATTAGATAGTGAAACAAATCGATTATCACAACAAACAGTTGAACAAATTTTACCAGCTGAACCAGCACCACCATCATTCGGTAGTGAACTTGGAAAAGTATTTAATAAGAAAATTAAAAAAGGTCCAATTGCTATCAGTACGTATTAGATTAGAATAAAAGCATTTGATCTGATTATTCTCGGATATATATTCTATTAAACTAAATAATTTCCGAAACAAATTTGTATAGAAACAAAAAAAAAATCTTATTGAACGAGATAAATCTTGATTGAATGAAGTTTTTAAGTCCGATATAATCTTAATAAATAAAAAAATTTCTTCTTTTGTTTTGTAGAAGATTGTGCACCTGATGGTAAATGTATAACACTTGAAAATGGTTCAGGTGATAAAGATGTTGATGTATCAAATTGGATATTAAAACGACGTGTTGAAGGTTCACCAGAAATCTCTTATACAATTCCATATGGTTTAGTAATGAAACATGGTAGTGAATTAAAAATTTATGCTCGAAGTGCACAAAATGCACATCATCGACCGCCATCACAAGTTGTTAATGATAAACTTGATTCATGGGGTATGGGTACTGAATGTGAAACAAAATTATTTAATGAACAAGGAGAAGAAAAAGCTTCACATTCACAAAAAATTGTCTTTGGTTCAGAATCACGTAATTTACCTTAGTAAGTTAAGACTTAAATAAAAACAAAATTCTTTCAATAATAGTCATCACTATATATATATCGGTTCTCTAAACGTTTCTTCTCATTAATCGTTTAAAATAATTTTTTCTTTAGCGACGCCGATTGGCCTCAGTGTAAGTGAATATCTTACAGAGGAAACTTTATTTTATTTTTTTCGTTCAATAAGCGGGGGGAGCATTTGCTTCATATGTCTACTCTTTTTTTACTTCCATTGACATGTCTGCCTTAAAATCTTTTGCATGATAAAATATATAATGATCAAATCGACTAATTATTTTCTTTTTTTATTTATTTTAGGAATAGTATGACAAGAGAAAATAATGAAGAAGGGCAATTGATTATTTAAAGCCATTATATTGATTTTAAATTTTGAACATTTTTTTTTTCTCTTTTCTCTCTATTTATTAAAAAAAAACAATATTTGTAGAGAAGATTCCTTTTGCCTTTTGTAAATAAGGATGAAATTGTTTTCTAATACAATGATAATCATTTAAAAACAAAACAATTATAATATTTAAAAAACAAAACAATCCATTCTTTTTATCTTTTTTTGTTCCTCTCTCTCTCGTGCTTTTCTTTTTTCAATATGCTTCTTCTCTTCTTCCTCTTTTTTTTCTTTATATATTCTCTTTAGTAGTTTAATACAATGATTGATTATAATCTTATTTGAATTTTGTTCTATGTGACAGAATAGTTTAAATCTCTCTTTCTTTCTCTTCTTCAGTCTTAAACAACAATATCTTTTTTCAAATTGGTTGTGTGTATTGTTTCAATTTTGGCTGCTTGCTTTCTTTCTTTTTCCTGTCTGTTTCCTTATACTTTCTTTCTACTGTCTGTTATTAGTGCGGGATGCTGCTGACTGACTGACTGATCCTCCTATTTCTTCTTTTATGCTCTCAATTTTATCATAAACTTTGTCTACATTCGCGCTGGCTCTTTTTTTTTTTTCTTTTACCAAATAAAATTGATGAAATTCAATAAATTATAATAACATTATTTTGTTCTATTTCGTCATTTTATATCATCAATAGAGATTACAATCGAAATAAAATCTTATATATGTCAAAAAATTCAGGTAGAGATTAATTATATAATCGTATGGTTTATTCAAAAAAATAGAGTATGAACACATCGCTTGTATATATATAAAAGAAGACAGTATTATACTCGTTATATCAAATGACGATATTAATCATGTAAGACCTTGTCCTATTATATAATAAGAATGGCTTTTTGAAGTACATAAAAGAATGAAAATGAATCGAAATTTTTACTAGAAATAAAAAATTTCAAGAATACTTAATTCTCTCGACAATAATTAATATATTGTGCACATCTAATCGAAATAAAACGATGTAATAAATAACGCATTATATCAAGACAAACCATCAGTTAGATGTTATATTATATTACTTGTCTGTTGTTCTGTTAATCATGCATAAATAAGACTAAAAATATATTCTCAACCATCGTTTAGACGATATTTTCTGATATCTGTTATAAACATGTCTGATATATTTGCTATAAAATTTTACTAATTGTCATTTGTTGAAAAAAGTAAATCATATATTAGATCATTGATGCATACAAAATAAAGTAATAAATCATTGAGAAATGAATTCTATGAATAATATACTTTGTAAAACATGTTTTATTATCATACACTATTTATCAATATGAAACAAAGACAAAGAAATGTCATATCTATATTTATGAATGTATATATTGTAAAGAACATTAAAATTTATATCTTCATTAAAACAAATTATAATTATAATTTTCTCTGTAGGGTGGAGTTTTAAATTCTTCTAATGGTAATAGAGTGGGTGTAGTTGTATATAGTTCATCTCTCATTCACACCCATTCTAATTAAGTAAGCCAGTTTTATCATTATCTTTGCTATCAATCTGAGCAATCTTGAACATACGTGAGCATAGGTGTATATAGTTCATTTTCTATCCACATTCATCTTGATATTCTAGATAAAAATGGTTTTTTAATAGATTCGAACTTCATATATAACCTTACAAAGCGTAAAAAGAAAGTCAAATTAAAGTACGATTTCTAATGTGATTTACTTGAAAAAAATAAAATATGAAATCTGAGTGATTAAGCTTCTCATTTTTCATCTGAGAGGATTTATGTCTTAAAGAATATGTAATATGAAGATTGTTTATGTAATCGAAATCGGAATTAAGATCAGCTATTTTGATCCAAAATCATTTATATTAATAAATTTCGTACACGAACGATTGAATTGAAACGTGTATCATCCTGAACTGCACAAGAAATATTCTCTTTTGTTACTTTTTAAAAGTTTATTTTCAATGAAAATGTTAGTAATTCTAAACTTATTTGTTCTGTAGATTAGAATAAGTAGTAGTAGAAATATTTTTTGTTTTAAGACTAAAAACGTGATCATTATTGACAAGAAAGATTCAAAATAATAGTTCGTGTATAGATTTATATTTATGAAATTTTTTGTACTGAATTTGTTACGTATAACGAAATTAATCAGAGAGTATTATTTTCTTTCTATGACGTATTATGATTAACGTAAAACATTTACTTAAGAAACTCACTGATATTTGAGAGTGTGGGTAATATGTTTAGTAAAAAAAACTTTAGAATATTTTTTGATAATATTCTAAATAAGTAAATTTGTTTATTGATTTTAGTTTCGCATCTGATGAAAATATATTGAATAGTCGCAATATATTTATTATAAGAATCTCTCTTACTTTGAATTTTGCATCGAAATAGAAAAGAATTTAATGAACATGTATATTTTTTAGGATCTTAGTTATTATTCTGTATTTATTGATAATCATTGAAGAATATAGATACATCTATTATTTCACGGAGATAATTTAACAAAAGAGCTTGAACTTGTCAGGAATATTTGGTACAAAATAATGGTTTGTTAAGATACAATTATTTTCATGTTATGTATTGTCTAAACCTTTTGATATATTGATTGATTTAGTATTTATTTTGTGGTTGAAAAAATATGTTTACACCTGTGTTTATTCTCTCTTCGGCATTTGACACTTACTATCCATGAATCTAAATTGATGTTTGGAAAAAAATCAATAATAAATGAGAATGACATTTGATTAGTACTTTGTCAAAAATCACATTGATGACCTGTCAATACTCAAATCGGAAATATTAATCTTGAATGCTTATCGAAGAAATTTAGATTTTATTATATTGATGTATTGTGCTTCTCTCACCTTTTATATTTGATCATTTGCTTGTTAGCTTATCAATATGTAATAACTCAATTCTACATACTATACAAAAAACCACTTTTTTCGGATATGAATGTATTTATCAGTACATTTTAAAGTTGTAACTGTATTATTTTTTAGATGATTTAATAATGTAAAGTAAATAGATACTATAAACAGTTCATAGATTATGATTTTGCTACTGTGATAAAACATTAGAAATTGATCCACTAATTTTCAATATCATTACAGTTAGCTTAGTCTTTCAACAATAAATTTAATATTGTACGAAAGATGCCTAGAACTACTAACTTTACTTGAATTATAGAGACATTTTGACACTTAATTAAAGTAATAACAATTGCAGATTTCTATATACTAGAGAACATTAAGAAAGAAGTATTGTCAATTATGTTAAATATCGTTAGTATTAATGTGAGATAACATTCTATTCTTCCAATTATACTCAAAAATAAGTTTCCTTAGTTGCATTTAACGAAGCGTTCGCTGAATCTTTTGATTGTATATCATTATATAAAAAATTCGACTCTAAAAATAGAGCTTCTATTTTACATTTTCTCATACTAATCTTTTTATTCATGATTAGTTGGATCAAATAGTCTATATTCGTCTATTAGTCTTATCTCATTAAAAATTATCAAACTCAATATTTTTTAATAAAATGATTATAATTATAAATATACACAATTTAATCATCAGATTGCAATATGATTCATTGCTTTTGTTTTTTTGCAGTTTATGACAAACTAATCATATTCTTTTGTTTCTCGTAGTTAACACAATATGCTGCCCTCTTTTTCTTTTCATGTATGCATTGCTCAAAAACGTGACATAAAAAAATCTGTTTGCAATTGTTATGTATACTTTATTTTCAATGCCTCATGCTTTTTGAGAAAGAAAAAAAAGAGAACGAGTAAAAACATATGCACTTCTGCCACGTCGTCAACGTATAAATAAGCAGTCAACTGAATCGATCGAAACACGTTACGAGAAATCATGCTTGTCACATACCATATGGAATATTGATTGAGAGAAAAAGATTTGTGACCTAATCAAACTATTGAATTCTTGATGAATATTAGTATCTGGTCGAACAGAAATTTACTAATAATATGGATATTTTCTGTTTGTTGCATCACTGTTTATGTAAAATTAAAATATAATCGTAATCAAGAAAATTTATTTGAAGGTTTGAAGATTTTTAAAATAATTATTTAAGTTTATTTTTATATTAGGTCATTTTTGGGTATTTACTGACTCACATGTTGATGCTCGTTATCGAGATGATGGTGATCCAGCTACTCGTTGTCAAAATATTTCATTAAAGAATATAACGAAAAGAATACGAAAATACGGTCATTTTAATTGTGATACACCATCGGAATTATTAACATCAGCATTTTCTGCTGCAAAAAAAATTGATTCAAATATTGATTTTATTATTTGGCTTGGGTAGAAAAAATGTCTATATTTTAATGAAAAATTATTCAAATTTTAATATTGTAGAGATGCAACAAGTCATCAAACACCAGGTGCAGACTCTATTCTATCAGTTGGTAAACATTTTACTGAAGAATTAAGAAAATTTTTTCCAACAACATTCGTTATTCCAGTATTAGGTAAAAATATTTTTTATTTGAAATAATTTATTTCCAAATTTCATCTATTTAGGAAATCATGATATAGTCTTAACTGCAAATCGAACAACACGTTTTAAAGAATATTACGAGAAAACAAAATATCAATTGTTATTAAATGACGATAATGCACGTCAAACATTTGAAAAAGGTACTTGTAATATTAAAAAAAGCTTAGAATTAATTTTACATTAATCCGAGCCAATATTATTGCTATACAGATTTTCTCTAGGTGGTTATTATACTTTACGTCATCATACATTAAAAGAAAATAAGCAAATAATATTACGTTTTGTTGTATTGAATTCAGTTATGTTTCAAGCACGATATGAAGATTTTTTTGATTCAAATGAACCTATTCAACAAATTGAGTATGTATGAAAATATATTTCTGTGAAAAATTAGAGCTTTCAGATCTAAACATATATGTCAGGGATATTAAACCTCATTAAAAATTTGTTATTTTTTTATGATTAAGATAAATTAACGTCAGGATGTACTTGTCATGTGTTAATTTCTTTCTATAGATAAGTACAAGAATGCCAATAGGAACTAAGTGCAAGCTATACGAATGAACATATTTGATATGATCGATCAACTGAAATAAAATGGTAACAACAGTTTTGCTCTAGGCAAAAGAATGTTTCTAGCTATTAGGAATACAGAAATTAAATTATCCATATATGAATTCGTTAAAGAATTTCTTCAGTATCCATATAAATGATATTTATATGAACGAAAGAGTTATTTCCTGATTATTGTGTTGAAAAGAGAACTATGAAATTCCTTAGTTTTAAAGCTAAAAAGTGATTGAGATTGACTATTTTCTATCTCCTCTTGCTTATATGTTTAGTCTGGTAAAAAAAAATGTCAATGGTAATCTACAATAGTAAGAAGAAAAGAACAGGAAATGTCAAAAAGATATAATTTCGAGACTAAGAAATATAGCGAACATATAGGAAACTAATGTCATCAAAAGAATTGATATTATTCTTCTATTATTATTCGATAGCCAATAATTTGAAAAAAAGATTAGATATTTTTCTCTGAAATAAGACAAAAAATACTTTTCATTTTCAGGTGGTTTAATAAAACAATGTTTGATGCACATAAATCCAGTGATCGTGTATTACTTCTTCTTCATGCACCTTTTGGTATCAATGAAAATTTATTATATAGATTCTATGATATGAAATATGAACAACTACTTTTATCGATTATTGATAAATATTCATCAAATATAATCATGTGTTTAAGTGCTCACCGTCATTATGATACCTTTCGTGTCTATACATCATTGAATGTAACTATGGGTATATTGGGTCATCCATCTATTAGCCCTATTGGATATCTAACTCTGCCATCAATTCGAAAATATTCATATAATAGAAAATCACTTATATTAACTGATTATGAACAATATGGTTTAAATATAATTGAAGCTGAAAATACACAAAAAGATGAGTGGACACTTTCATATCGTTTTTCATCATGGTATCATCGAACAAAAGAATTAACATCAAAAAATTTACATCATCTTGTTTATTTAATACGACAAAATTCATTTCATTTAAAACGTTTTTTAATATCAAAACATTATATAGATAATAAATTTCTAACAAATCATCAAATTATTCAAACATTATGTGCATTAACATTATTTAATTTTGATGAACTTATATCATGTACAAGACGATTAGAAAATAAAAATATTACATATGATAATGTTATTATGAATAATTCGTTAGGAATAAATGCTCATATGAATGAACAATTGATAGAATATAAAATTATATATCGACGTGTTGCTATTAGTCTTTTTATATTATTTATTATTTTATTATCGATCAGTTATCAAATCTATTCAAAATATTTTAATAATATCAGTAATGAAAAAAGATAAATTATTTTATTTTTGTTTTTTAAATTAAATAAAAATGAAAATTGTTTTAATAATGACCTTCGTTTTGAAAATTAATTGCCATTTAGACAAAAAATAGCTAATAACATTTTCGACCTTGTCGATCTCAAGTATATATGACTTATAAAAGGATGGATGCATCCATACATATATAAATATGATTTTTGCTATCTATATCTTATTATCCGATTTTCAGTGGTTTCATATATTTCATCTAAATGCACATTTGTCATGCCTTACTTGCTTGAGGAAATGAATCAGTATGGTTTCTGTTGTTGCTACTAAATAGGTTTGTTATTACCATTCTTAGACTATCTAGTTTTACAATTATCGTTATCTTCGATGAAGCAATAAGAGTGTTGTTGTCATGTAAACAGTTTGTTCTTCAATCGAGTGCATGCATTATTCATTTTTAGTCTTTTCGATTTAATTCAGATTTATTGAGTAAAAGAAGAAAATAGAGATTTTGTATGCACATAGAAATTACTCTAACTTCGACATATACACACTTGGATTCTCTTAGCCGATCGTATGTTATGTTGTTTGTATGCGAAATAGCAACGATTGAGAAACAGGACAGATAGAATAGAATTAACAACGACGTCTCTACCATTTCTGTTCGTCGAGTAAATAATTTATTCTGAGAGATAGAGTAGAGATTCTAGAGAGAGAGAGAGAGAGAGACACAGAGAGAAAAGAAAATAGAATCTCTATCTTTGCGTATTAGACCATACAACCACATCCTACATTCAATAGCATCTAACTATTTTGATACGCTCTTTCTTTTAACAAAAGGCACAATGGTAAATGATACATATTAATAATTATGATTAGTTTTTTTCTTTATAAAAATATTTGTTTTGTATAATTTAATTTAGACAAGTGAAGCAAAAAGTTTTTGGAATGAAAAAATGACGCATTTATTTTATCTCTATGGTATATATATATTCTCTTACAAAGTAATTATTAAAAATCTTCTTTATAGATGCTGATAGAGATGGTTCAATAACTCCTCTTGATTTTGAGATTCTTGCTGATAAACTTTCAGCACTTGTTGGACAAGATGATATTAAACGACGTGAAGATTATGCAAGTGCAAGAAAAACTCTCTGTCAAGCAATAATGAGGGCTGATGCAAATAAAGATGGAAAAATAACTTTAGGTAAAAAGAATAAGAATATTTTGTTAGAGAAAATTAATTTTTCATGAAATTAGATGAATGGTTGGATTTTCATGCAAATCTTGCCAATGAATTACGTAAACCTGATACAAATCCTGAAGTATTAGAACAATTATCTGAACGTATAAATACAACATTTAATATGATTGATCTTAATCATGATGGTTATATTGCAAAAGATGAATGGCTTAAAACTTGCCAATTTTTTGGTGTTGATGAGAAAACAGCTGAAAAATCTTTTGAACAAATATCTGATGGTGATAGACTTGAAGAAGATAAAGCTAAAAGTCTTTTTCTTGAATATATTAAATCCGATGATCCAAATCATGTATCAAATTGTTGTTTATGTTTTCTCTAATTGTTCCTGTTTCTATTATTCATTTGTAGTTTAAACATAAATGTTGTTTTGTATTGTTTAGAAGTATCGTATTTTTATGTTGTCTTTTTCCTATTTTCATTTGTCAATTTTGGTACAGATCCTTTGCTATAAATCATGCAAACAATAACAACCGAAGTATTAAGAATAAAACTAATTAATAAATTTATAACCATATTCATATCGTTTGTTTCATAAAGATTTGTAATTATTCGAGCTAAATAGATAGAATACATGAAATAGGGAGAGAAAAAAACAAAAACATACCAAAACTACCATATGCAGCAATTGCCCAACCAATTTTACTAACTTGTCCAGCATTTTTATTTGAAATGATTGTTCTAAGTTGAAGTATTTTTGATGATGCACTAATTGGAATAACAAATAACTAGAATAAAAATATAATACATCTTGGAATATTAAAATAAAATCTGTTTACCGTACAAATATTCATCCATACTTTCGGCACTAAACCCAAGAGACTTGCTAATAGATAAAGACAAAAACTATTAAAAGATAAATCATAATTAAATTATAGACTTTTTTTTGTTGTTATTATTATTTACATTAATATTCCATATAAAGGTTTTGATCGATTAGTAGTTCGTTTGTCTTTTTCATTTATTGAATATTTTGCTATTGCAAATAAAAGAAGTATATCTATACAGAAAAATCTTAATTCATTTAGAAAATTTTATGAACAGAAAAAAATAGAATATCTAACCTTGTATGAAAAGAACGACATATTCAAAAAATGTTGATAATGGATAATGTTTCCAAAGATTATAAGCTAAAACTATTGTATAGCTAAATGAAAATATTTCAAAAAAACAATCATGAATATTTATTTAAGTTAATTTACCCCATTTCTTCGAGTAATACAGATGATATTGATATACTATTAACATTTTTTGTTTTATAAAGACCGATAATTTGTGGTAATTTTTGTACGAGACATAATATATTAACTGATAAACTTAAGAATTGTAAGAGAATCATATATAGTTTTAATAATCTAAAATAATGGAATATTTTTATTGAGTCATATGATATTTAGAGCTTTGTTTTTCAAGGTTAGTTACAAAAATAACGAATATTATATTTTAACGATAGAAAACATCTTGTATAATATAATCATAACAGTAGATCAACGAATGACTAATGAATGAATTTGAATATTCATTCATTTTGAATATGATTGATTGCTATGCAAAATATTCACACATTATATTTAGTTGACACGTGTTCTATTATTTTCCATTTAGATATAATTTCGATTTTATATTTTAAATGAAATTATAAGATATATTCTGAAATAAGAAAAATATATATATATTTATTATAATTATAAAAATTTGTTTATTTATTTTTTCTTCATATTTCATCTTATCAGTATTTTTTTATCGAGTAGGTATCTTCTTTCTAAACAACAAGCCTATTTTGTCTTTCTTTTTAGTCTACAAATAGAATGAAATCATAGACACATGTATATGGTTTTATTCTCTTTCTTTCTATTTATTCGTAGTTGAAAAAAACATATATGCGATGTGATTAATTCATGTCTGTTAGTATAGTCATAAGAAAATTGCTCATAGTATTTTTGATTGATTTGAATCGACTAATGTTTATCAAAAACATTAAAAAATGATTAAATCGTTTCGAAAGATGACATTTATTTGATTATTCTATTAAATCAAATTCTGATACATATCTGATCACAATCAGATAGTTGTAAACTATGGATGATTCATAGTATGAATAATTATATGTCATCAATTATATTCGAAGATCGAAGAGATTTACTTTTTATGTGATAATGTTATCGTAACATCAATTGTTCGGATAATTTAAAACTTCTTTTTATTAAGATAACGTTCTAATTGATTATGTTAAAAAATATTATTCACAGCAATTTCTGATTTTAATGATAAAACATCTTGTGTATACAGTTTAATATTGAAAATATGCTACAGTATAAATAAACAATGACAGGATTTGATACAATAATAAATAAAAAACTATAAGAATAAATTAATTATTTAGCGGAAACCTAACTAACCCGGAAATTATTGTCAGGCATTCTATTCAGGTTTCAATGATATTTTACTTATAGCTTAGGAATCTGTAACTTGATATCAATCCTAATAACAATAAGATCGAAACTGGAATTAAAACTTCTTCAAATTAATTTCGTGTAGCTTATTTTTCTTTTCAGATCCAATAATAGTCTTTTACGAATTTTTATTCTACACTTAAATATGTTTTTCAGTATGTAAAATATAGAATTGACCATTCAAAAAGAAGGTTGTGGATGAATAGGCGAAAGATGAGTATAAAATCAGTACTCATAATAAAATCCGCACCCGATAATATATTTATCATTTAAGAATATTACTTATCAGTTATTTATTATCAAAAGCAATACGTAAAGTGATACTTCTTATAAATCTATGTCGTGCATAATTGAAAGAAAAATCAAATCTGATTTGTGATATATGCAAAAAATAGAATATTTTTATTGGAATCATGACGGAAACCAAAACAATATCTTTTCGTACGGATTCAAATGAGAAACAAGTCATTTCACAGATCTGTATTTTATATACTTTATAGTACAGCCATGAAAATATTTTTGATTCGAATCGAGATATGATTGATTTGTTGAATTTTTAACCTGGTGATTCTGTCACGACTGGTAAACAATTATCAACAATATAGATGTCTTACTTCATATTTTTATAAGACTTCGTTCAAAAGAAATATACTTTTTCGTTATAAAAACTAGCTTAGCCAAGATCTATTTATATACAAAATGTCAAATCAAAATATAAAAACAATTATTTTTCGAAGACCTATATTTTTCAAAGAGTTTCTATAAAAAATATATATGAAGGAGTTGATAGTTCAGTCAAATGCATCTAAGGTTTCTATCAAAATAGTATGTAGAATTTCGATGGAAAAAAATTAGTTAAAACGAATGAGAACTAAAGCATTGATCAAGCTTCTTGTACTGATAATATTCTATCCAATGTATTGTATATCAAAATTAAAGAATCATATTTTTCAATAATGTTATATTCTGAATGAAATGATGTAATCCTTTATAGCAAAAAATAGAATTATGATGAAAGGAAAACAAGTAAGTTTTATCTGGATATTCTAAAACTTTGATAAAAATATGATGAATTCTTCTACTTTATTTAGATTTGGATATTTTAAGATTGACTTATTCGCTTTGTTAATTTATTAGAAATGCTCTCTTTGTTATCTAACAATAACACTTTGACACAAAGCGTATTTAATAAAGCATTTCATTGCCTAATGGAGTCATTAGTTTAATTTGACTTGTATATTTAGTAAAAAATAGATCAAACAGAAATTGCTTTTAAGTTTTTATTTGATAATGTATATTTAAAACGTGATGATTGTTTTATTATTCGCGGTTAGATTATTGTCCTTTGAACTTTTATAGACTAAAAGTAGGTTGATTCATAAATAATACACAATTTTATATTATCCGAGTTGGTAAACTTTCGATTTGAAATGCTTTACATGAGAATTAAATAGTATGTTAGTAATATCATTATTATATTGTTTTACGAGATTTTTTTTAAGAAGAAATAATTTTTTTATTTTCTCTCTCTCTCTTTCTCCCTTTCCAAGCACGCAACTAAGAAAAATGTTGCAGGAGAAAATTATTTTTTAACTTATAAAGTAAGTAATTATCTATTCCTCCTAAAGGTATTAAAGTCTTTCCGGATAAGGACATTGATTCCTTACGTCTTCCCTCTGGGTATATCAATAATTCTATTCATTAGTTATAAGAAACAAACAAAATATTTCTTGCAGATTATAGAATAACATATTCAGTAGAGTCGACTTTATGTTCAGTATTTGACACTTACAATTCTATCAAATAAGTAATTATCTTTTTTCCAAGTCGTTAATCTTTCTATTACTTTTATTGATTCTTTCGTAATATAATCAAATCAAAATCTTATAAAAATGAGTTACAAAGTTCATTAACTAATTGTAAATCAAGAGATTAGGATCGCCTTATAACTTTTATTATCATTCACTCGGAATAGTATCTTGTAGACTGTACTTGAAAACTCTTTCGACAAATTATCATTCTCGTTTCACAAAGGAAGGAGACATAAGACTTGAAATCGGCCCATTTTCAGATTTGTCCTGACGTCCCCAGTCACATCGTTTTTGAACCCAACTAAGTTTACAGGGTAGACTGATTTCCAGTCTTATACGCCTCCTTCTTTTTTTTAGGATAGATATTTTACTATATTATCTGCCATTTTCTTTTCCTGAATTATTCAGAACAGATCTTTTTTTTATGTAGCTTATAGTAAACCTTATTAATCATTACCGATATATTCTCTTATTTTTCAAAATTGAGCTGATTTCGATAAACTATTTTTATTCTTTAAGTTCAAATCAGAAATCTTTAGATAAATATTTTTCTAAATGCAATCATAGTCTGATGAAGTTTGTTGTTAAGATATGTTCGTGACAACTTGTTTTTTCTATAGAAAGAATATAGAAAACGATGTAATTTCATTTTACTGTCTAACATTTTTTTAAAAGAACATGTTTTCTATTATTGATAAATTATTAAATTAGAAAAACAGCTTGATATAAAAGAAATATATGTAGATACAAATTATCTTTACTTCCGATAGTTATCTCTTCATGATAGACTCGTCATCATAAGTCACAAAATACTAAAATATTCTATATATAAATAACAATTTCATTCATATCAAAATACAATAGCGTATAGAAAGGAGATCCTGACTGAATAGAAATAATAAGAAAATAAATTCTAGGCTCTAGAGTATTACCAAGTAAAAATTACGATAACCTATCTATTCAACATTGATAAAAATCTTCTACGATCTAATATTTTTTAAATTCTAGGCATTGAAATAAAACCTTTTATGCGCAAAACTTTTTTTTTAAATACTTGAAAACCCCTTTAGAAATAATCGGTACATTTATGAGCTATTTTTACTAGAATTTTAATCTTAACATCGAATGCTTTTATCTAATGAAACAAATAGATTTTTTTGTTCTCTAAAAGCATTTAGTTATTTTTATTTGAGTTCGATTGTGCTAATATTTGATGGTAATTTAAATAAAAACCTTTTGTACTTGAGATTCATCAGAAAAGAAAACAATTTGATGAGAATGTTTTTAGGAACAAAAAATTTACGGATAAATGAGTAGAACGATAAGTATATTTCTTGTCAAAATGAGAGAAAAAAATAGATATATTTAACGAGCACCTTATCATTAAAATCATTCAATAATATATTTTAACTTTCAGATGACATGGGCTCTTTTCCATGATTTTTTTCGTAGCATACTCATCTCCCACGATTTCCGTTTCTTCCGTTCAACGTGCTATCTTAATCTGTCAGTTTGCCATTTTTTCTCTCTTTTTCCTTTTGCTTTCTAGATACGCTCATATACTTGTCGTTCTGATTGTGACATTGCCAGTCTGAAATACGAGCAAAAGAATAAACAACTACGTTATTTTCGTTATACCTAATTATCAATAAAATATAACAAAATGGTTTCCATCTCAAATTTAATCAAATGTCTTTGCATTTTTACACGTATGATATATTGATTAGGTAAAATATATATTTCAATTAAATTTTTGAATATTTAGTTTTCATTTGTTGTCAAATTCAATTGGCAACAAGCAGTGGTAACAATCAAGAATATGACGATATTGATCTTGGTGATGATCTTTATGAAACATTACCTATTCAACATCATCGTCTTCATCATCAAGATTTTCGACGTGCTTCATTACGTTATCAACCTCATGTCTTGTATAAAAAAGCCAGTCTTCGACCAATTATTGGTCAAAATGGTCAACTTACATTTGTCAAACGTGACCGTGTTCGACGTTCTTTATCATCCCTGATAAATTATGATTGAACAATAATATAGTTGTATGTCTGGTTCTTAAATATAGAAAACTAAAAAAATGCATAATGTTGGAACTGGTACAAATATTAAAATAAAATAATCAATAATAAAAAAAAAAATTTCTTCTCTTACAAATTCAACTATTCAATACTTCACTAATAAACAAGATTCTCATAGATATAAAACTAAAGTAACCTTTCATGTAGTCTATGGTATATAGTTAAAATAAAGATAAAATGGATTAATTCTAGTGAATTATTTTCTTCTTTGTATAAAAATAAATTCTAATGAACTAAACAGATATATTTAGTTACTATAATTAATCGTTTAAAAATAATACATAAAGTCTTGATTTTTCTAATTTAAACTTACTCTAATATAATGAATGTCTATCTTTCACTATTTATTCTATATCAAATATGTAATACGTAACAAATTGTGCATCTATTATCAATACAAGTGTTATAATTAGATAATCCAAGTATCATTGAAATATCTTTGCATTAATATGTGGAATAAAATTGTGGCATATTTTTTAAAATAAATAAAACTAATATAAAATACTGATTATTTATTATGTTAATGAAGTTTATATGAATATTTCATGTTAAACAAGTGATTTACTAACACACAAAGTTGACAGAGTATTTTAAACATATTGAAACTAATTAATAATTCTATGATTTAAGTAACTATAAATCGCAAATAAGAAAATGTACTATTGATTGAATCATTACAAGTAAAAATAAAATGATATTTATCAATCTAATTCAATTGTAAATAAAAATAATTATCTTTATGTATGTAATCAATTTATACTCTTTCACATTTCGACATATATGACAAAATGATTATGGATTGTTACGTTAGGTACACTTTCATTCGGCTGCTACACTATATTTCAAAAACGGAAGTAATAGATTTGATGGAAATTGCAGACCAATATGCATTAAAAGGATGAACTCAATCATGTTCAATTTTACATGACAGTTTTGTAGAAAAAACTTTAATTAATTATGACATACATATATAATTATCTATATTGCCTATGATTATAAATATTTTTTTCTACGTATGTATATCTATCTATCGTTATTTTCAATTTAACCCTAACGTATACTTATAATTATCGATTGTATTTCGAGATACTATTTGTTTTTTAGTTGATTGGAATTACTATCCAGAAAAGATGCGTAACTAGGTTTTGAATTATATTAATCTATCAAATAAAATATGATGTAACTTATCTGAATGTTTCTTTTTTGTTGTTGTCCAATAAATCAGTAAACTATGAACTTTTATTGAATCAATATTGAATAAGATGCAATACTTTTTATTTGTAACGACACTATATTGACTAATACAACACTTCTTTTATTTCAAGTAGTTACCACTTCTCTTGAAAAATAAATATAATAAAAAATACTCATGCGTTAATCCTTTCTTGTTTCTAACTAAACGAGAGTGATTTCGAAGAAAAACTTGTTGATGACGCTCATAATACAGTTCCCTAATGTATACAAGAAAATTTCTAATCGGATTCATGAAAATTCAATATAATACACTTCGGTGAAATGAAAAGAAGATGTATTTGATATACATAAATGAACAAATAATCCAAGAGGAAGATAAGTTATACATATGTCGTGCCGAAGTTAAACTTCGGTAACAGTGTAACTTCGGCACGACATATATACTTCAAAGTATATGAAATTAATCTACAGTTGATAAATGTTTTTTCTCTTTTAACATGTTTCTGACACGTGTTATTATATAATGTATATTAGAAATCAATTTACATGCTGAATATTCTATTTTGAAGTGTAGAAATAATAAATCAAATTTAAAAAAATGTTAACATAATTATTAAGATACAATATTATTACAATTAATAATTAATGTTTTTGTTATTGTTTATAAAAACAAATATAAGAAAAAAAAACTTTCTATTAACCAGATATATACATATATCTGTATAATTTAATGTTTACAAGTACCTGGATCAATATAAAATAAAACCTTGTCGAACATTATTACTATTAGTTTAACTTTAATAGATTATTTCTATAATTATTACTGAAGTGGAACTTCCTACTTATCTTATTGTACATAATTAATGAATAGATATATATCTCATTTATTCAAGAATATATATTCAACATGGTGTTGAATACTGTCAAAAGCGATTATCTTGCACAAGATATTATGAATAGAATTAGCAGTATACTAATAATCCATAAACAATTCTGATTTGTGCAATCTAGTGGTGCAGACTTAGAAATGTGTTAGAGTTCTTCTAGTAATTACCATAAAACAATCATGAAATACATCTGATACTGAATTTTCATGATTTATCATGTACTTGAGAAATATATAATATATCTTTTTCGTTCATTGTTTAGTTTTGTATTAAATTTAGTATTTTATTTTTAAACCAGATCATCTTTCTTTATTTTTATTATTTATTACTGTTTTTGATGTATGTCAAAAAAGCTCTTGAGAAACATCACAGTATGATATTAGTTAAAAATATTCCACGATAGAATATTAACTCATTGAGTACTCAAAAAATAGCTATTAGTACTCATGAGTTCCTGCAATGATAGCCAATATGAATATTCTCGAAGTACTCATGACGAAGAATTTTTTTAGAACATTTCCGTCGCATGGATAATATTAATAGAAATGTGTAAAATGAGTGGTTTCCAATGGGAATAAATTACGATTTTTAATTTCTCTCTCCGATACAATATATATATTTATAGTATTCGTTTCAATAACATATTATTTACAAGATCAAAAATAATACTTCAAGATTTATCAATATTTACGTTTTTTTATAGATAATGTGAATATTTGATCTTATCAAAATAGTCGAATACAAAACATCGTGTGAATTTCCATTATTGATACTAATGATATAAGCATCTAGATATAACTATTTATAGAACAATTCTAATATGCTACATTATCATTTTGACATCTGCCAGTCAATCATAAGATAAATCTTGAATTTTACAATAGATTTCTAGACGACTGAACTTAAATGGATGTCATATCATATCAGTAAACAAACTTTAGTTAAAACGCAAATAGAATAATTCATGAACCATTCATTGATATCATTTGACAAATCTCATACAAATAATTTTTTTTTTGTCTTCAAGAATTATTATCATCATGCATGAAAGAGAGAGAGTATTTATACAACTAAATGCTATTTATTGCAAAAGAAAAAAAATATTATTCTGTAGTAATAAAAGAATTTCTCGGAAAACATCCAAAAGCATGCATTTTGCATTAGAACCAGACGCTCTGAGAATTACTTTGAGAACGTAGGTCTATTTTTTTTGTTATATCATATAGAAAATATAGATCATCATGAAAATATTATTCTTGGTATGTTTATTAAAAACTTTAGGGAAAAATAAGTGCTAGAAATACTAATAATAAATATCTACTTAAATTATGATTACTGCAATCAAAATAATTCTCAAACGTACTCTTTATATCTATAGAATATTGCGTTAAAATATCAACATTAGACATGACTATTATTAGAAATATGTTCATAATCACTTACTATCATTCTTCTAAATGATAGTTATCTGTTATTAGAACAAAAATATATGACGTGTTAGTTAGATTATATAACACTGTCATTATATTTTTGTTACACGTAAAACTGATCATTTTTGACTAACAGAGTAACATATCTAAGTCATATAATTTTGAGTAGATTAATAAATAATTTATTGGTAGAATCGATATTCTTTATTTGATATACCTATATATCTTTTTTCATATTTAAAACGTATCCGAAGTAAACAAAGAGGAGTACATTATATATTCCATTAGAACAAGAAGATATCTTATAGTTTACGGTAATCGAGGTTTCAAGTAAAAATAAGAAGTATCTCGACATTAGTTTTGAATGTAAATTTATTTATTTTCAATATATTTAAATATTTACGTAGAATATTAAAAGCTTTTCAAACGACGCAAAGACTCTCTTTTATTTCTTCTCTTTGCATATGATTTTATTAAAACAAGTTAAGTTTCCTTTTTTCTTCATTTGCATACTTCCTATAATATTAAATATATTGAAATAGTTGATTATTTGAAGGGAAAACAGAACATAGGATCAATGTACTTAAGATAAATGAAGTTATTATTAATTTCAATAAACAAACAATAAGAACTTTTGCTCTTTGAAAAAACAAAGTAATATTGTCGAGAGAGATTATAAGCTCGCGTATATTATAGAGTCGAGTGTATTGTTTTCGCTACTCTGCCAAGGTCTTTATTCTTACCTCTACAGATTTAAAAAAAAAAGGTATTATCATATGCCTTTTTTTATTTTAATCTTCCTCCGTCAGATGAACATCATTATAATCCTAGCAAAACTGCAAGAAATATAATAATAATAAAGATTTTCTTATTTTCTTAAGAAATTCATCATAAGTATGGAAGTCATTATACAATATAAGATAAAAAGCACGAGTATGGACGATCTTTTCACAACAGGATTTCTAATGTCATGTCCTATAAATAATCTTCGAACGAAAGAATATATTGAACTATTTATAATAGTGATTTCTTTTTTCTTTTTCTGTCGTATAATTTCCGATGCGTGCTTGGTATATTTAGTAAGAAAATAAATAAGATTGATATGATTTATAGAACGTGCTGCTTTAGACAATTTTATTATATTCAATTTATATTCGTTTCTTCTCTCAAAAAGTCAAATATGAACTAATTATGACTGAATAGATCTATATTGAATAAATAATCAAAGACAGACCATAGTTAAGATTCTAAAGAAAATAAACACATGCAATAAGTATATGTGCACATTAATATTGACATCATTTCGTAGGCGTTATCTGTCCCTTTAGATATGAAACATGATGCCTTAGCAAGACACACTCACTTGTCAATACGATTTCTTTTCCCGCTTTTTCTGTTTATGTAGTGATCTAAACATTAACAGATGTAATACACAGGAAGTTGTCATAAGTACAGGAGAAAACAAAATGTTTTCGGTTTAAAATCAATATACCTCGACAATATTTTCTAACCTTTTGATATTAATTAATCAGATTTTAAGAGATTATCATCTCTCCTTTTTTGAGACAGATTAGAAGAGCATCTAGTAATTATTTCCTTTTTGTTTTCCTAAGTCTACTATTACATTTCCTACGTCATTATGTTAGTTAAAAAAATGTTCTTCAAGGAAAGTATTTTATTTATATTAATATTAGAAGAAGAAGAGTTCTCAAATGAATAAAGACTCTAGGCAATATATATATATATGTATACTCAAAAATGTCTTAAATGACATGTTTTCTTTTTAATTGCACTTTCGCAAGTAGATCTATTGATGTTCTTCTGTTAATACTATCTTTTTTTGAAGAGACTATCATAAAGTAGTCAGATAATTAGATAGGTTTAATGTTGTCTTATAGTATATAGAGAAAAAACTACACAAATCATTTCTAACATGCACTCGGAAAGAATGAGAAGTACTATAAGAAAAAAAAAGAATGAATTACTAGTTCGAGCAGAAATCTTTGTATTCCTAGATACTTTTTTTAATGTCTATTTTGATTGATCGAAGTTGTCATGAAAAATGTTTTTTTAATTTAGTTTATTCTAAATTCATCATAAAAATGTATTGACATCTATTGAAATGACACGTCAAACTTTTAATCTTTGATTCATTACACCGTGCTTCATTTTATTATATATTCTCTCCTGTTTATTGCTCTAGGTGACTTGATTCGTTTCCGTTTCTTTTTTCTTCTTGATAGATACATACACATGATCATCCAATTCTATTATTTGAGAAAAAATGAGATTTACTTTACATGACAAGATTTTCTAGAGTTCTTAACTAAAGAAGAAAAAAAAGAAGAGAAGAATAAGAAAAGTAGTGTGCTACGTTTTCTTGTTCTTATATAAAGAAATAATAAGAACTCCTCTCATAATGTCTAAGACACATCTTCAATTAATAGGACCTTTTCTCGCCGTAATAGTTTTCTCGATTTTTCCTATTTCTTGTCTCTTTGCATCATTTCATTTATACTTATATTATCAATCAACCGAAAAAACATTTCCACTTGATTCTTTACATACGAGCAAATATCAAATAATCTTATTTGATCAGTTACTATTTCTGTTAACACATTAAATCCTTCCATATTGTTTCATTATTATTATAATTAAAACATCAAAAGAATAGTTTAATAATAGAGTATTAGTGTAGATATAAATGGATTGTTTTTTCTTCTTAAAATATATATAAATACGTAAAAATATGTTTTTCTCTTCTATAGATTATTTATGTATGACACAATTCAAAGTAAAATTGAATCAATAATTCATAGACATATTAATGATACAAATATGAATGATCATGCAGATGTTTTTGGTAATGTAAGTAATAGCAGTTGGTATGAAGAAGATGATGGACCATCGTTACCTACACGCTTAGTTTTTGCTTGTGCTTGGATATTTATTGCTGTTGCTGGTATTCTAGGTAAGATATTTTTTTTATTATCTTCAATATATATATTTCTTTTTATTATTAGGCAACAGCTTAGTTATTTTTGTAGCTATTCGATTTGAAAAATTAAGCAATGTTACAAATTGTTTCATTGTTAATCGTATGTTAAAATTTATTTCATTTCAAGAAAAACAAATATCGTTTTTTGAATTTTTATTCTAGTTGCTGTTACAGATATTGTTTTCTTAGCATTTTGTATGCCATTATTAGTTGTTCAATATACACTCGAACATTGGTAAAAAAAACTTCTTTGTGTTTATTACAGAAAGAAAAAAATCTTTTTTTCTAATAGGTATTTTAATCAAACATTTTGCAAACTTCTCAATTTTATTTCATTTGTCAGTGTTCTTGTTACTGTTCTTACATTAGTTGTAATGACTATTGATCGGTATATTTATGTTGTCAATCCATTTGAAAATATAACATGGCGAAAACCCAGAACAGTCTTTTTCCTTAGTTTAATTATTTGGTTACGTAAGTATAACATTTTTTT